AAGCTAGATAGATTCACTCAATTCTCTGGGAGTAACCTTTGAAGTACATTTCTAGATGCCCAGTCAATACACCTATTATTTCTGGTTATTAAATGTAGAATATATGAAAATCTTTTAAAATTCTTTTATATAGAACAATCCACTCCACTCAAAATAGGTCTCTGCATTGGTAACATTGTCTTGTAGCTCTTGAACAGATTTTTATCTTTGTCATACCATGCCAAAGCTCCAATTCTTTAACTTCAATTTTCTAAGCACATATGACAAAAACGGACATTAATTCCATCTGACTCCATTTACCTACTTTTTGAATACAATCCAAAAATACCAAAGTCATAAATTCTCTTTTCTGATCACTCAGAAAAAGGCCCACATGGTTTTTGCGGTGGTAGTTTCTGAGCCACTGACTCATGATAAAGCTAATGCTGATTTCACCCATTAAAGCAAATCTGACTAGACTGTCATTAGTGGGTGCATCCCGTGTTAGGCAAGTCTTGCCAGGCTGTCAGCAGTGATACCAAGGTGTTTTCATCAATAGTGATATCTTTAACCAGTGACAAAACCAGCAGTAACAGCAGAGACTAATTCTTGACTAGTAATATTTCTCCCAAGAGTCTATTTCACTTGACTATATATGCAAGTTGATTTTCTCTCACGAGTCTATCTTGACTACTACTGTGGGATTATACACCAAATCAACTCTCAGTCTTCCATGACTGATATAATAGGATACCATAGAACAAGTAAATGATTGAACCTTGTAAATCACAGGGAAATAAAAACTATTTTACTTATCTTAGCCATGTTTTATCTCCATTTTTTATTTTGTCACTGCTACTCTTTTTTGTTGTTAACGGTAAGGTTTTTGTTACACGTTTCAAGGTAAAAAAATAGTATTTGGTTGTTGGGAAAGTGATGTCATATTTTTGGAAAAAGAAGAAAAGCACATTTAAATCTAACAAACATTAAATTTATTGATCAAGAATATTATGAATTATAGTCTAATCATTTTATTCTTTACTGAAAGAGTTTGGGATCCAGAATGAAAAAAAAAAACCTTCTTTAAGATCTTTGTGAGAAGTCAGTGAGTTTCACTTGGTTTTGTCTCTTACAATCTCATAGAATAAGAAAAAAACACAGTCAAAAGAATTTTATAGCCAACATACTGGCTTTATAACCTCTTTGACAGCTCAAACAAACAGCTTGAAATCAGAAAGAAATAATTTCTGACAAGAATTGAACTCATATCCTTTTCTTTGGGTTTTTTTATCATTTTATTCTGTCTCCAAATGCTTGACATTATTTTTATGATATAAAACATTGAATGAATTTTAAATTCTGAATGTCTAATTTGTAATTTCAGATGAAAATAATGTGTGTATTTTAAAAATCTTTTTATGGTTTTGAACGATGGAGAACATCTGGGAAATAGTCAGTTTGACTTTAACAGAGGACATTTCTACAGCAGCATTTCCAAGCAACTGATTAATAATTTGATTTATTCCCCCAAATGAGAATGAACAAAATCAAATAAAGGGGAAAATTAGCCACAATTTCTTTTGATAGATTTCATCTTCAGCATTCTTAGTATCATTAAAGGAATTTCCTTCATTTTTTTATGTTTTTGTCAGCTCTATGCATCCATAATTGCAGGAAACCATGGCTTCTGTTTAAGTTTAAACTGCTGAAAACAGTGACAAATGTTCAATCTTCAACAATGCACTTTCAAAACAGGAACTGTCAAAACAAATTTTGCATAAACATTAAATAAAATATTGATTAAAACATGACCTTTGGTCAGACAGATGATAAGCAAGGAAGTAAACAGACTACTAATGTACTCAAGGACAAGGTGAAATATTTTTTCACATCATAGTGCTGAGTTGGTGAGTCAGTAAGCTACAAAATCACAAAGATCTTAACAAATTGCTTGAAGACTTCCAACAGTAATGACAACTAAAATGAATTGCACATGTAACTGCAATGGAAAATAATTATATAATCAAGATGCTAACTTTCCACACAACCTTAGACAAAAGGTTTGGAAAGAAACTCCCATCAATATTAGAAAGTGTATTAAGAGTGGACTTGTGAAGTCTAATTTTCTGAAAAACTGTTTTAAGAAAAAGATTTTATAAATTTCAACCATCGACAACATTGTTTAGTTAATGTTTCCTGTATGAAAATAGCTATTTTTACCATTACTGTTTATTTGATCTATAAGGTTTTGTTAGTCTTTTTTCAATAACTGCCATGTCTGGTGTCTTTCCTGATAAAGGTCTTAGTTCAAAATTTCCCGTAGTTTAACTGAATCAACAGGCTCTTGAAGAAAGTTGGAGAGCATAATGGTCAGAATGTTAACAACAGAGAATAGGACAACAGTCTAAATAGTCATGAGCCCTGTAACCAATTAGGGTCATTGGAGAACCAAATGTGCTGCAGCTTTAGCAGCAGTGGATGTGTCTAGAGTGAGATATTCTGATGGAGACCACCCCTCTTCAAACTGTTTTTCATTTCAGAGTTGTCCATCATTGAGACTGGCTGCCTTACCAAGGTTAAAACTTCCGGTCTTCCCTATTATTTATAAGGGTCTAAATTCAGAGTTTTCCTTTTTCTAGTCTGGTAGCTACTCATGGTAAGAGAACCCAGCTTTCCCAATCTATATAATAAATGCTAGTGTCAGTGTGTTAGATTTTTTCAATTGAAGAGACACAATTCTCAATAGCTCATCTCCTTCTATATTAATAAATTAATAAATGTGAATGTCAGTGTGTCACACTTTTTCAACTTTACTCCTGTAGGACATAGCTCAACATATCATACCATTTTGGAATCAAAATGTCTTAAAATAAGACTTTTATCCATGTGTTTATGTCAGGTAATGGGTTTTTGAAGTTTTAAGCCTAATGTCTTTTTTTTTTTTTTAGTAAGACTTCTAAAATTGCTGGAATCTATGCTTGGGCTTTCTGATCAGACGATTCAAGCATAGCTAGTTTTCTTATTTTTTCAGTGTTCATTAACAATTGCATTCTTGCAAATACTTTCTATATCATTAAATAAATGTCTGGTTTCCTTTTGAAATAAAAATTTCTTTTCTGCAACAGTTTTTTTTTCTATTAGAGTCTGTTTTGTTCTTCTAAAATCTTCATGATTAAATTAATAACATTGAGTATTGTTACTTATGCATTATAGATATTTTATTCAACAGGAAATGTTCAAATTGTTGAGCTTAATCAATAAAAGGATGGTAAATTCAATTAAGCATCAGTTTTCCAGTGATGGGTCAAGCAGAGAAAGGTCAGTTGAACTGACTGCAACTCTCCAGGTCTATGCATGGACAATTTGTAAAGTATTGTAGCAAGCATTGATAGACTTCCCTGTTGTCCACATTCTCCATAAATAACTTGGGAAATTGAAATAGGCTGCATCAGTCTTCTGTGAGAAAGGACAAAAGTCTTGCATAAAGTTGTAGTTTATCTCATTTAATAACATTAACTTCTTGTCTTGAATATTCTCTCCCAGACAAGTGAAAACATTTATAGCAACATTATTGAGGCCATATTAGGCTGAATACTAAATGAAATAGCATTTAAAAGCATAACCAGAAACAGCTATTAATACTGGATTATCTTGAATATGAATTAGTGTAAGCAATAAGATTAGATTTTCTATGAACTTAACATGAATAGAAAACATTCAAAGAAATACTTGTGTGTTTAATTTGGCTTTATCAGTTTATTGCAGTATCACAGAAGCATTAAAATTCAGAACAAACTGAAAGTAGATAAGAGTTGGAATTTATGCTGAAAAATATTCATGAGTTATTATAAACATATTGGTGTATGGATGTGTGGTTAGTGTTGCAGGCATATTGCATATATTTTGGATAAAAGGCATGAATTCATCTTTTTCCTGATCTGGGTTAAATGTCTTCGCTCTTTAGCCTTGATAGATGAACCAGATAGTAAAAGCAACTGAAGTCAAATAAAATAGGATAAATTTGCTTTAAGGCTGAGATAGGTATGGATTTCTGTTCAGTATAAGAGGTCAGAATTTTACATATCTATTTTTAAAGCAGGTAAATACATTTCACTTGAATGATTTGTGTAACATTATTTTCCATTCCCATTTTTTTAAATAAAGTGTAAAAATATCTGGGAATGGTAAACATTCAGCATTCATTGACAAAGCAGTCAGTGCTACTTTTGATTAAAATTTATGAAATTGTTTTCTTAAAACAATCTTTGAAGTAAGTAAACTTCTCAGGTCTAGTAACTGTTATTACTCTTTACAGTATTAATGGGGGTTTCCTTCCTTGCCTTTTGTTTGAGGTAGTGTGGAACATCAACATCGGGATTGTCATTATTTTTCTCCTTGAATTAAATGTACTATTCATTTTAGTTGGTTCTTTCTTCTTTATGTGCCATGTCCCCTCATGATGTTGGTGATCATGGCTCTCCACAACTTCAAATATGTTATAGTGAAACACACCTATTCTATTGTTAATAGACTCTCCCACCTATAATAAGTAGGAGCAGTAGCAGTCGCTCAGTGAGTTGGTCAGTCAGTCGATGTCGGACATTAAAGTATCATTCACCACAACTAGATTGCTGCGTCATTAACTATTATATCAAGTTCCTAACGTTTTGTACGTCGAACCTTTTTAGGACCGACTTAGTGAAATGCAAGCCTCCACTGTGAAACTACTCTATAACAAAATAGCAGGGTAGACTGAGCTCTCCGATTTTGGGTAGCAGCCAGTCTAAGAGAATAACTAAAGTTCAAACCCATGGAGAAGGAAGATCTTTCTAAAGCAGTCATGGCAATTCACAGTTAAGAAAGAAAAGGGATCTGTAAAGAGGCACGACCGACTTTATCTTGAAAGGATATCAGATTTAAGAAAGAAAAAATGATGAAGGAAAAGTGGAAAAGAAAATGAAGTGAGTAAAGTCAAGAAACAAGGAAAAAAAAAAAGAAATATGATTCTTTTGTTGTGCAGATTAGATGAAGGTTAAAAGAAGAATAAATATAATAAAGAGAACAAGATGAAAAATGAAATGAAGAAAAATAAACACTAAGCAAAAAAGATGCAAAAGGAGAAAGAGAGAGAAAAATATAGAGAAGTAAGGAAGAAAACTGAAGAAAGAATAATATAAAATGAACAAAAAAGACAGAATAGAAAATGTGGAAAAACAAAAGAGAAAGGAAAATGAAACAAATAAAATGAAGAAATCAACACAAAGAATGAAAAATAAAGAGCAAAAAAAAAATGAAGATAGAAATACAGAAGAAAGAAAAATAGAAAAGAGGAAGAAAAATGAAATAAGTAAAATGAAGAAAAGGTGACAAAAGAAAGAAAGAAAAAACATAAAAATAAAGAGAAAAGAAGGATAATAAAGAAAATGTAACGGAGAAGCTGGTGATGTCAAGTGAGAAATAAAAAAAAAGGAATGATGATGAAGAAGAAAAGGAAAAAAGATGATAAAGAAGACAAAAAAGAAGAAAACACAAAATGAATCAGAAACAAGAAAGAAAGAAAAAAAAATAAGCATGCAGGAGAAAGAAAGACTCAATGACAAAATTGTTGCATTGAAATGATATAAGGAAAAGAAAACATAACCAAAGTGAACTTGCTGTAAGTATGATGGATGGGTAGAGACAGAAGAAAACAAACAAAGTGCACTTTCTGAGTGCAAATCTTAGGGTAGCTGAAAGGAATGACTGGTGAGGATTTCAATGCACTGTCACCACTCAAATGATATTGATGAGATTATATGCCTAGCGAGAAAAAATGATGACATTATTTGACAAGCTGAGTTGATTCAATTTATTCTTGTACTTAACCAAGCTGAGTGAAGAAGATACTTAGCCAATCACCTTCTTAACATTCTTTTCACACCTATCAATAAATATATATACTTTATGAAATGTTCATAATATACTCTTTATCAAGTTCTTTTTTTCTCATTTCCCTCAAGTGTCACTTGTCAGTGAATAAAGGTTAACATATTGCAAAAAGTTTGCTAACATCAAAAGATTATAGAAGAATTATAAGTAATTCTTTTGTATACTAAGTCTTTATTAGTAAAACATAATCTTTAAATATTATAGAAATAAAATATCAATTATTAAATTTATGTCAGGTCATTGGTATTATGTAACACAATACTACATGTTGCATGATTGGATCATCAACAACTAAACTGGTTCCCCCACCAAGCTGGTGAGGAAGTTTGCTAGATACCCAGCAAGATTAAAATAAGATTTGTCAAAGAATGGATGAACAATCTTGTTGGATTAACAGCCATCTAGCACAATGGGTTAGACTGAGATCCATAGCTATGGATGCAGCCAGTGCAGGGATGACATGGAATTGTTTGGCAGGGTAGGTTTCCTAGACTTATGTCAATGGCCATGGTGGAGGGTTCACCTGATAGAGGCCACAGCCATATGTCCATGACCAAGGTGAGCTTTCATGTTGTGATTTTTAATTGTTGATCTAAGAAATTGGTTTTATACAGCTAATAAGTTTATATAGACTTTATTACAAACTGATAACAGTTTTCTATTTTTAATGGTTTCACTCCAAGTAAGGCGACAATGCTGCTAGAATACAGGGGTGGGGGGTAGTTTATAAGGAGTAAATGAGAAGATTGAAAATGGAAAGGATTGAGGAAAAGGCAAAAAAGGAACAAGAAGGCAGAAGATGGTGTTTAAGATTGTATTTAAATTTTTGAAGATTATAATTATCAGGCAAATAAGAAATTGGAAGAGACTTCCACAGGTGGAAAGTGCAAGAAAGAAAAAAACTGTAGAAACAATAGTTGCATCTATTTCTACAGTAAAACAAGAGACTTAGTTGCCAATCTAGTTCTACACTTAAATTCATGTAGTTGGTTACCATGAAAATATTTAGTGATCAGAAAGAAGGAAGCCATGTCACATCGATGGAAAAGTGACTAGAGAAAAGATAACTGGTCATGGTCGATTGTATTGCAGACTCTTCTCTGGATTTTGTCAAGAATCTCAAGATGCACAGTAGGAGCACCAGACCAGATATGGCAACAGTATTCAATACACAGACAAATGGTAGATTTATAAATGTGCAAGATGGATTCTGATGAGAAACATTTTTTTGGTATAACACAGAGAACCAATCTTCGTTGCAGCAGACCTAGCAATTGACACAATATAGTTTTTTTTTTAGTTAGTTTTTTTTTTTATTAAGCATTTCATCTCAAGCAAGGCAAAAGTGCCACTAACACACAGGGAGTTACAGAGTGTGAAAATGAGAGAAAAGAGTGGGTTTTGGGGTATTGAGGACAGAACAGGGTGTTCAAATGTTGGGAAATGCAAGAAAAGAAACTTGGAGTAGAAGTGGCAGTTGCATTTAACTATTTCAACAGTAAAAGGGTGGGACCTAGATGCCAATCTAGTAGCATGCTTAAATTTGTGTAGTCAGGAAAAAAGCTCATCACAGCAGCAGCCATGAAAATATTTATAGAAAAGACAGAGAGAAGCCACATCACATCTGTGAGAAAGTGTCTGAAGTCAAGAACAGTGTCCAGCTTACTATTGAGACAGGAGTAAATGGTAGTGTCGTCTGCATTGATGCCCACTCGGGAACTGATGACATCAGGGAAATTATTGATGAACATCAGAAACAGTGTCAGACCCAGAATAGAGCCTTGGGGAACACCTACATTAGTATGAAAGGAACTGGAAGAGAGCTTGTTCAGAACAACCTTCACAATTTGATAGGACTGATTGGATTCATCTCAAGTAAACATTCTGTAATACCATAACCTTGGAGCTTGCATGCCAAATCCTGTTAAACACCTTGGAGTTATCTAGAGCCGCAGCTCAAGAGCTTGATATATATATATATATATATATATATCAGTTATGGCCATAAGCATGTCAGCGGTAGACCAAGCAAAACAGAATATATATTGTTTGTCAGAGACTAGATTGTGAAAGGTAAGATGCTTAACTACATTGATTAAAGCTGGACTGGGTCATGACAAGAGTCAGAGATAGATGAAAAAAAGAGTTTGAGAAGAGAAGCATTTCCATCAGGGTGACTGGGGGAACATATATGAAGTCAATCACTTGTATGAGGGATTGAGTGATTGAAAAGTTCAGGGTTTGGATGCCAATGAGGTCAGTGCCAAATCATTCAAGCCACCTAATATAGTGGGCATTAAAGTCACCGAACATAAATATGTTAGCAAAAGGGTGTAAGAAGTTGGCCTTGTCTATATAAGCAGAAATACTAGTCTTGAAAGGAAGAGAAACCATAGAGAAAGAAGAGATATCCAACAGATGTAGAAAGAGATGGAGACACGTGTACAAATGGTGAGGAGATTTGAGAGAGCGCTCCCTAGCTTGTAGGAGATGTTTGCAGACATTAACTCTCAGGCCATGCATGTGGACTTTAGAGTCCTTTCTAAGTATAGTAAGTGTTGAAGCTTGAATAAGCATGGAATAATAATAATACAACACAAAATGTACGTAACAAAATGTATTGAAACAATGAAAAAAGGTACACAATATTTACAGGTAGTTTTGGTATATTCTTGGGAAGACTGTTCCTGCAGAATGGGTTGACTAAGTCGCAGTCGGGCAGAGTCTCTCGATTCGATCTCTTAATCTTCCCCCGTCTTCCGGTACCAACCCATATTTATATGGTCGGTACTCCACTTATGTAAATTAGGTGTATCATACACAACACCCTCCTCCCAAGCCTTGGAATCCTTTTGGATTTCAAATTGGCTTCCTATATGGGTTGATGATTATGGCTATTTCTTTGTAGATCCATTTGCCTAATTTTAATATTTTTTCCGTTTTGGATTCACGTTCAATGGGTCCGTCAACTTCCGTTTCCTACCGGATCTTCTTGGTTCAGGTGTATTCTGTGGAGGTTCTACCTGAAACATATCATACATTATATCAATGGGATCTTCGTCCTCATCCGGTATACACTCTTCTTGCTCTATACCGTAATCTTTTTTAGTTGGTTTTGGTGCCTTTTATAAGTATTCTTCGGCCCTTTAATTATGTAAATCAGGTCACCGATTCTCTTGTCCACTATGCCTCGTTCCCAGAACTCAACGTTGTTTTTATAGCACTTGAAAACACCTTCTCTCCGGGAGTGTATCTTTTTCTCGCTGTATACATGGTATTTTTTTACTGTATTTTTCCTGGCAAAAGCTTGTCAAACACTGACTTAACTTTCCTAGCGAACATTAGTTCAGCTGGTGCCATGTTTGAGTGTGTTCTCTGGTTTGGCGTGATTCTGTATACTTGTAAGAATTGCTGAAGCGCCTTTTCCATTGGAACTCCTGAGGCTTTCTTCAGAGCACGTTTTAAAGTATCGACAAATCTTTCTGCAAGTCCATTAGACCTCGGATGATACGGAGGCGTCGTTATGTGGTTAATTTGATATAACTCACAAAATTCCTTAAATTCTTCAGAAGTGAATTGTGTACCATTGTCACTCACAATACACTCTGGCACACCGAACCGTGCAAATAGTTCATGCAAAAAATTGTTGTGGTATTGGACGTAGGCTTTTTACAGCGTAGTACTTCCGGCCATTTTGTAAAACTATCTACCACTATTAAGTAGTAAAAATCTTCTACTGGACCAGCGAAATCAATGTGTAATCTTGTCCACGGATGATCCGTCTTGGGCCATGGTTTGTATACTATAGGTGGTGCCTTAGCTGCTAACGCACACCCCTTACATCGATGAACCATGTTTTCGATATCCACATCCATTCCTTTCCAATACACAAAGCTTCGCATTAAGCTTTTTGTTCTATTAATACCCGGTGACCCATATGAAAGTCCCGAAGTATTCTTTTCTGCAGCTTCTTTGGTATTACTACTCTCTCCATATAATAAAACTCCATCACCTATTGAAAAATCTCCTGCACTTTTTGGTCATTTGCTACCATTTTGCTTTTTAATTTCTAAAATGAAATCATCGCTTTCAGCTTCTTTTTTTAATTTCATTTAGCGTAACCGGTAGCTCTCTTTACAATGTTGTTTACCATGCTTTTCACCTCATAATCTGCTCTGATATTTGCAATAATTGATTCTTCGAATCTTTCTTCTTGACTCGGTACTAGTCTTGATAGACTATCCGCATGAATTATCTTTTTGGATGATAGGTGCTTTATGTGAAAATCATAATTGAGAAGAATGGTTCCCCATCTTAACAGACGATTTGCTGTATAAACGGGTAACCCTTTCTTTGAACCAAAAATGGTGATCAGTGGTTTATGATCCGTTTCAGGATAAAATGTCTGCCGTGGATGTACCTGTGAAATTTTTGTATGGCAAAAATGATACTCAGTGCCTCTTTTTCTATCTGAGAGTAACTTCTTTCTCCTGGGAGCAAAGTTCTCGAAGCGTGTGCAATTGGTTTTCTAGAACCATCTGGCATTATGTGTTGAATACACGCCCTATCCCGTATGAACTAGCGTCACTTGCCACTACAATATCCAGTTTTGGATTGTAATGGGTTAAAAGAGGTCGGACGTAAG